GAATGTAGCATATCAAAGAGTTCTCCCATAGTGAGATACTTCAACCACGATTCCCAGTACCCCTATAAGACCCAGGGCACCCTGCAAACTCTGAGATACATGGTTACACACTACAAGAAACAGGTACAAGACTCTCATGGAAGTCTCTCTTCAGATAATAAAGGCCCAGAACAGACTAAACATGGACAAAGTAAGCAGTACCCAAATGGAAGAAAGGGCAGACAGGAAGCAGCACTACCTCTCCTCCCAAATGATATCTACTTCCTCCTTGACACCTGACATGTACTGAAAAGGAGACTGTCATCCCCAGATCTAGAGCCAGGATTGGGATGTCATGACCTGTGGGACAGCTAATGGTGATTAGAGATGCCACTGAGGCCTACATGACCTCCATGGATCCTAAGAGTTGATGAATGAATAACGAACACTGTTAACGCAGGAGGAGAGTAAGGCAATTAACAGTTGGCTGGAGACAAAGGGCCAAAAGAAGAAATAATCTTGATGACCCGGGAACTCCTCTAGCCTCAATACAGGCTAGACCAGAAAATTCCCTCAGTGAGGAACACATGAGAAAATGGAGTGATGTCACAACCTCCAGTTAACCATAATCTTGGAGTCAAAACAACCAGAGGATGTGGTCTAGCCAGAACCTGGGGGCTGTGCCGTGGACAGACATCTGCGAACAGCCCATGCACTGGAGCCAACCCAAGCAAGGGCCTGCATTTCTTCAACAATGGTGGCTGACTTAGCTTGTAAGCTGCTGAGAACCAAGGCTACATATAACCCAGTGAAAAGTCGCAGTGGTTGATTTGGCTCTCAGCAACCATCTAATTGATTCTCAAGCCAATCTAAATATGGGAGAAGAGTCAAATAGTCTGAGTAATTGATTGAAAGCCAGAAATTTCTCAGATTCATTTTCGTTAGATACAATGTAAAGTATACTATTTACTTTCTGGCATTTTTAAATCATAAAATAAAATATAGTCATAATTATGTATCCATATGAAATCTAAATCTAGTTCATGTTATCTGATGTGCTGAGAGGCTAAGTTCCTGTTTTACCAGTAGGTACATAGTTTCTCCAGAGAAACTTTGTTTAGAAAAGCATACTGATAAACTGCTTGACAACATGAAGGGAAGCCTGGGAGGCTAAGAGACTGTGAGATTACTGAAGGACCCACAATTTAAAAAGACAAAAAAATAGAATACAAGTCTGAGATGAGGCAAAATAGGAAAGGACATACATCAAAGCAAGAGACAGATTTACTTTTTGAAAAGCAAAGTTTTGGGGATTTTTGAAGAACAAGAAAGTTGTCAGACACTGGTGGCTCACACCTGTAATCCTAGCTACTCAGGAGGCTGAGATCTGAGGATCACAGTTCAAAAGCCAGCCCAGGCAGAAAAGTCCATGAGACTTATCTCCAATAAACTATTCAGAAAAAGCTAGAAGTAGTGGTAGAGCACTAGCCTCGAGCACAAAGAGGCTCAGGGACAGTGCCCAGGCCCTAAGTTCAAGTAGGACCAGCAACAAAACAAAACAAGAACATTTAGAAATTTTTTGTTTGTGTGTGTTTGTCTGTGTTTGTGTCTATGTATGTACGGGCACTAGGATTTGAACCCAGAGCCTCAAACTATCCTTTGACTTTTCTGCTAAAGGCTGGTGCTCTACCACTTAAGCCACATCACTACTTCTGAGTTTTTGCTGGGTAACTGAAGCTCAGAGTCTCATAGACTTTTCTGCCGGGGCTGGTTCTGAACCATGATCTTCAGATCTCAGCCTCCAGAGTAGCTAGATTACAGACGTGAGTCAATGGCACCTGGTTAGAACTTTTAAATTATCTATAGTGGTACTGGTTGCTATCTTCCTTTACTTGATGCTACCAGAGCTGCTTCTATGAGTCAATACGGGAGAGGTCAAACATGCAAAGTTATATCTGACTTCAGGGTTTGGGCTAGAGCAGGAGTAATCATTTCCCCTTTCTTTCTGGGAGGTAATTCGTAAAACTCTGTGGTCCTCCTACCTCTCTTCCCTCTGCACAGCCCTTCTCCTATAACTGGCAAATTGTCATGCATCAGAAATTAAAGTTGTGTATTTACCCTAACACATGATTCACTCTGTTTCAGTATTCTGGAGGTTTTGCCCCATGGGTATGTTCTGTTGTTCATGTTGGGTATTCAGATTTCATTATAAAGATCGTGTCCTTTCCCTGTTTAAAAGCTAATTGACTCTGATAAGAAGACTGCTTTGGTTTGTCAATTTAGCATGTTGCATTACAGTATTTAAGACAGTTATTTCCTTGTGTCTCAGAAAATATTGGCTTTAACAGATTCGATAAAATTATTGAAACAAAACCATTAAAGCCTTCAGTTTTTCTTCTATATTTGATTTTCATGCTAAGTCCATAAATGTGAATAAAGAATATTGTAATATGTAAAGACAGCATAATCATGATAACAATGTCATTAACAGTAGCTGTCAGTTACTGGTTTTTGACTGTGCTCCAAAAATACTTTTTTATAGACCTTAATCCTTTCATTTAATCCTCACCATAACTCAGAAGAAAAGACTAGTCTCATTTTCCAGGTAAGAAAACCAAATTCCATACAGGTGAAATAAGTTATGTTTTTGTATCAGAAGACATTGGCAAAAAGTGAAAGACAACCTAAGAAAGGGAGAGTTGCAAATCATATAGTTGATAAAGGTTTAATATATGAACTCTAGAACCCCTTCAACTCCACCATAGAAATACAACCCAACTGAGAATATAAGCGATTGGCTGGAGTAGACATTTCTCCAACAATACATACTTGGGCAACGAGCATGTGAAAAGTTCACATCACTCTTAAGTCATTAAGAAAATGCAATTCGGGGCTGAGAATGTGGTTTAGTGGTAGAGTGCTCGCCTAGCATGCACGAAGCCCTGGGTTTGATTCCCCCATATCACATAAACAGAAAAAGCTGGAAGTAGAGCTGTGGCTCAAGTGGTAAGAGTGCTAGCCTTGAGCAAAAGTGGCTCAGGGACAGCATCCAGGCCCTGAGTTCAAGCCCTAGGACTGGCCAAAAGAAAGTTGTTCACAGCCTATATCTACAGACCAGGTTACTCTTCTGCACTCTGAATATAATTTCAGGCTAAAACCTCAGACTCAACATCTAGTTTTTAGTCCCTCTTCATCTGAAAAATCCACTACTTGCTCCATCCTCTATGAACCTTGAACCTTTAAGAGCAGCGATACCCACGAAGCTCCGCCCATCACTAATTCTTTCTTCCTTGTTCCTGAAACCAACCAGCTCCAAAGGTTTTGTTTTAATTAAAATGCCCGTCTTAGCTTCTAGAGTTTCTAAATATTTCTTGGGTCATCTTCTTCTGCTCCATTTAGAGTCACCTGGGTTATTGGATTGACTTTCACCTTGGTCTCCGCCCCTCTTCTGCCCCTCCACAGAAAGCCATCTCTCTTTCTACCTCTACACCTGCTGCCATCTTCTCACAATGCTATAAATTTCCCCATGCTACTTTATTCCTTTAAAAACATTCCTTTATGCAAATGCAGAGGAAACCCAAACTCCCTGGCATACAAGGCTGTCAACTACCTAAACCCAATCGGCTTTCCAGCGACTTATTTTCCTGAACCCCTGCCACACTGACTGCCTCCCCCACTCATCCAATGTTCCACCCAAAGTTTGCCTTGGGGCTCATTCTTGTGTTGTAAATTCATTTTATAGCCATTATACATTGGGAATGTATGATTACACTTACCAAAGTCATATCATACACAGTATCTTCACTGCCTTAGCCCTGTGCTTGACCTATCCATCTTGTCCTCTGTGAATCCCAACCCTTTACTGTGTCTATAATTTTGTTTTCCCTAGAATGTACTATAGTACTTCGCCTCTTCAGACTGAATATCTCATGTAGCTTCATTATTAGCCAATATTAGCCAATCCAAGTAGAGTCTGTAAATATTCACTGATTCTACAAACATTTATTTTGGACAGTGCTACCTAGAAGCTGGATAGCAGTTGGAGTCAGCAAGACTGGAAGAAAAAGATCAAGTAAAGTGATTTCCACATGAAAGGGCTAGCTTTAGAGAAACCTGGACAGTGGTTAAGTCTGTGTTTGAAGGATTTTGTTTGGCTTTTCTTTTTCATGCAATTCATGAAAAGCTAGGAGTTGTGTCGATCATTAAGAAGAGAATTAACCTGAGAAAAAGATTAAAATGCTCTTTAACTGTTCTGTTTAAAGAAATAAATTCTCACTGCTTTAGCTGAGATACCTGAGGGCTGAACAGATCGAGCACAGAACTGAAGAGATGCCCACAACACAGCATCTCCACCACCATCTTCTACAAAGAACCACTGCGTGCTGGTGTTGGTAGTGTCCTTTTCCTTTCTTCCCTCCTTTCCTTCCTTCCCTCTTTCCTTCCTTCTTTCTTTTTTAGAGTCTCACAATGTATCTCAGGCTGGTCTTGAATTTGAGATCTTTCTACCTCTGATGTCCTGAAAAACTGAGATTACAGGCATGCACCTCCATACACAGCACTACGGTTCTTTTTTTTTTTTTCAATTTAATGACAGCCACAATAGTTACCTAAATAATATTATTTGTGAGTTTATACATTTCCTCATACCTTTTGATTTTTTTCAGAAAAAATTAATCTATTTAAGATACATAGTACAATAATATTCAAAGTGATATGATCTGAGTTTTTAATTGAAAAGATTTGTGTGAAGTGGATTTTGATTCAAGCAAATGAGTTTTCTCATGGGCTCAGAATTAAGGGGAAAAAATCCTTTGCAAGATAAATATGTTGTATGCCTCCTGCCAATAAAGGATATAATACTTCCTCATTGTTGTTAATAAAAAAAAAATAACATGTCCTTCCTAAAAAGAAAGAATGCTTCAATGAGTCACCTATTTCCACATTCAGGGCTGGGAAGCTCTATAAATGTCTCCAGCCTTTAGCAGAAAACATCCAACCAACCGTAGCCCCGAGAACAAGTGTCTCCCATGGCAGACATGCGGCTGACCCTGCTGTTTGCCTTGTGCCAGCTGCCGGGCTCCCTGGCCCTGCCACTGCGCCAGGAGGCAGGGGGGCTGGGCCAGCTGCAGTGGGAGCAGGCGGAGGTAAGTCAGGGCAACTCACCTGGGTGAGGGGGGGCCATCTCCCCACCTGCATTAGAGGGGTGTTCAGTTTTTCCTCCTTCCACATTAGTATTACAGTGATTTCTCATGTTGGCATGCTGCTGAGTGTAAAGACAAGATGTGATTCTGCAAGTGGCCATTGCAAGCAGGCTTTAGAGCCAGTGTAGATGAGGGTTCAGTTTCAATGCCTCCACGTGCCATGCAAACTTAGAAAGGTCATTAAACTTCTCAGATTTTCATCCTTCTAATTTGAAGGTTAGGTGAATTAATGATGTCACCCAATTAGGGTATGATAAAGCACATTGTCATAGTACCTAAACATTGCTCATACTCAGCAAATTCAACTTTTGTTACTTGCTGTTACTTAAAATTAGTTCTCATAAAGTGCACTGAACGTTGCCTTTTGAGATGGTGGCTACTTGTAAAAAGAGATCTGAAGTTGCAAAGCAAAATTACAACTTTGCAGAAACCTAACTCAACAGGCCAGGCATTCACTTCTGAACTTCTTTGTTCATTTGTCCTCAGCAATACAACTTGGTGTTTCTGTCCCACAAGATTTATTCTAGTAAATAAACAGCATGATAATGCTAACTAGCATGAGTATACCAGTTAGAGATAATAAGGTATGTCGATACACATTGTCACTTGATCCTTAGCTGTTTCCTGAGAAGTAATCAAAATTGAGTTGCATTCTTGTTACTGGAAGAGGTAGGAATCAAGGCAAGACAGGTCTTTCCACCTCAAATATGTATCTTTCCACTATATTAACAAGTAACATATCATAAAATTGTTATTTGCTAAACTATAGGATGATGACTTATAATTATAAATTTAAACTCTAACATAAGAGAAATCTAATTTTTACATTAACTTGGACTTTTTAAAAGATCCAAAGTAAAGCCAGGTACTGGTGGCTCACACCTGTAATCCTAGCTACTCAGGAGGCTGAGATCTAGGATTGCAGTTCAAAGCCAGCCAGCAGAAAAGTCCATAAGACTCTCACCTCCAAGTAACCACCAGAAAATTGGAAGTGGTGTGACTCAAGTGGTAGAGCACTTGCCTTGAGCTGAACAGCTCAGGGACAGCACCTAGGCCCAATGTTAAAGCCCCACAACCGATATAAAAATAAAAACAGATCCAATATAATGCACCAGTTGAACATAGAAGGTTGCCAATGTTTAGCTACTTTATTTAACCTCCCAACGATTTTCTAGCAATTTCTATCTACCTAGTAGGTTCTGCAGAAAGGCTACCTTTACAAGAGCAGAAAGTTTCTTTACATTCAGGTTGTCACTAAAGAGAATTTTGCTGGGTTGAATGGAAACAAGGAAAGTTCATTTTAAGAATGGGGGGCTGGGGGTGGGGAGAGACCTTTGTAAAAGCCATAGCTCTGAAAAGGATAAAGTGGATTGTTTTCCCTTTAAAATCTGAAATTCACTCATAATTGTCATGGATGCACAATTACAATTTGTTGCACTGAATGAAACACAATCACTGTTAACAATAGAGAACAGTAGGGACAGTACTAAAAGATTCTCACACTAGTAACCATTACTGTCTAGTCCAATGTTGACTGAATGTTACCGAGCCAATTGTAAATGCTTTCAACAATAATACTATCATGATTATCCAAGTGTGGGCCCCATTCCTTGGTATGATGGCTCCCATTCTCATTTCCAAATACTTGGAAGCTTTAAGAAACTCCCAGGGACACAATTACCCCTGGAATATATCTGAAAAGCCGGCCATATTGTGACACTTCCCAAAGTGGGCTTGCTTGGGATATAGCAGTAGAAAAGGGGGTAGGGGAGGAAAGAGGAATTGGAGGGGCAGGAATTTCAGGCTAATACTGCTACTCATGTGTCATTTGGATGCTATGAGCTTTGGTTTCTTCACCTGGAAAATTAATTCTAATTAAATGAATAAGCTCCCAATATCCTCTCCCAACCTGAAATGGGAAACTCCTATAAACTGTGGCGGGAACCAGATCTCAGCAGGATCTTTGGTGAACTGGTGGTCTCATGTCTCCCCACAGAACACATTATCCCAGGTACTTGGCGTGCTTGTGGAAGCCACACAGGTTTCACTTTCTGCTTGCTCCAGAAACAGGCTAGGCTTGAAAAGTGTGAAGTACGTTTCTTCTCAAAACGCTGAATAGGAATAAAGACAATGTGAGGCTTTTTCTCCTCTGCTCCTGAGAGGGCAGCCAGTGCTTCATTACCAAACTTCTGCGTCCTCCTCACTAGGACATACTTATTTAGGGACGACATTGTCATTCTCTCTGCAAGCCACTATTTGAATCCACAAGAACCCAATATAGGAGTTGTACATATTTCTGAAGTAAAAGGCCATAAACAAGAATTATGATTTACTCTTTTTAATAGAATTATCTTGAGAGATTTTATGTTCATAACTCAAAAAGGAAAGAAGCCAATACATTTGAAACCAAACTCAAGGAGATGCAACGATTCTTTGGCCTGCCCGTAACTGGAAAGCTAAACTCACGCGTCATAGAGATAATGCAGAAGCCCAGGTGTGGAGTGCCAGATGTTGCAGAATTCTCGCTGTCTCCAGGTCCGTCAAAATGGCCTTTCAATATAATCAGTTACAGGTGAGTTTTGTTTTGGCTCACCTTGACCAAAACAATAAAGCTCTTTTCCTCAGAAGCCAAATAATGTTTCCTTGCTTGCTGCTAGGATAGTGTCATACACTTCAGACTTGCCCCAGGATGTAGTGGATGAAATAGTGGCAAAAGCTCTCAGTTTGTGGAGTGAGAAGACACCACTCAAGTTCTACAGAGTGAAATCTGGAATTGCGGACATCATGATCAGCTTTGCCAGAGGCGGTACGGATGGCTGCTGTAGGCTAGTCTCGTGTATTCTTTTATCTCTTTGTTTTGTCTAGCCATGCTCTCCTCTTTCCAAGATCAAAACCTTTCACTAGGACAGAGTGCAGGGGCAAGCTGGGCTTCAGTACAGACGTACACATACTCATACACACGTACACACACACACACACAATCACACACTAAAAGAGATACAAAGATGAAGAGAGACAGACAGAGGAGTTCTCCACATATACATATGCAGAGCAGATTTTCAAGTTTGTTAATTTAGAACTACTTATATAGCAGTGATTGGCAAATTAGGGCTCATGAGCCAAACCAAATCCACCATGTATTTTGTAAATAAGGTTCTATGGAATACAATCATGCCCTTGCACTTATTAACTGTCCCTTGATAAATTTCTAGCAGTTATAACTGTGATATCGCCCATCAAGTCCACAAAGTTTCAAGTTCTTATCTGGATCCCTCATAGAAAAAGCTTCCAACTCCTGCTTTGTAGCACAAAACACGTGCACAGCCACATAAGGAATTTAGCTGAAACTTGAGCTAGAACCCACAACATCAACAGCACCGAAGAAGATGCAATGAGTAGCACTAATAACAGTACCATAGTTTTTCAAGAACTGGAAGGACCAGACATAACCTGATACAATCTGAAAACAAACAGACCTTGAGCATGCTTCTCTAACAACCTAATGCTCACACACACGATAAGCTAAATTAAAGAAAAAGCATGAAATGGTGCACAGACTACTTGCTAAAACCCATGCTCACACTCATTGTCATTCCCAACACCATCCAGCCAATCAAAGTAATCAACTCTAACAAACTCATAGAAGTGTGTGCAAATCCCTCTATCTATGGAGGTCATCAGTGATGGGTAGTGATTCCAATAAAAGAAACAGACCTGTACCCAACAAGCAGACAAACCACCCTGTTTGTACCCGGCTGCTGATGTCAACAGGGCCAAATGCATGGACTGAGATGCTTTTTCAACCTCAATAGTCCTTTTAACTGAAAAGCTGCATGAGAGATTAAAGTTCAGTCACCAAGGAAAGTTACTCCATTTTCTCACAGTGCATGGAGACTTCTACCCATTTGATGGACCAGGAAACACCCTGGCCCATGCCTTTGCACCTGGACTAGGCCTGGGAGGAGATGCTCACTTTGACAAGGATGAACATTGGACTGACAGCAGCAGCAGTCTAGGTACGTCACCCGGGCCCCTTCTACTATACCTTTACTAGAGTTAATCGTTGCTGTCATTTATAATCATTACTGAGAGCAAAAAGGCCACCCACCTTGCTATAGGTAATAGGTCCTTTGTCTGATTGAATCTACTAGCAAAGTTACATACACAGGAGATAGAAACTGAGGCCTGGAGTTAAGGAACACTGGGCTCAATTTGCTGGGCTTCATTCAGTTGTTCACTGTGTGTCCTTGGACAAGTGACTTAACTTCTCTGGGCCTCAGTCTCATCAGTGAAGTAGAAATATTAATAGTTCCCACCTGAGAAAGATTGTTGTCGAAATTAAATGTGGTATTGAACATCGTATTTGTAATATTTAATAATTCAATACATTATTACTTTCTTCATATTTCTCAAAATTAAGTGTCTCAAGTGGAGAAGACAGAGTAGCAGAGATTACAATAGGAATTATACACACTCCATGGTGACACACTACTGTCTGTCAGCTCCATGACCCTACCCATCATTTTACCACCCCACAGATGGGGACTCGCAGCCCACAGGAGTGTGGTATGAATAATCCTAACTGGAGACAATTCTTTTTTCAAAAAAAATGGCTACTAACTGGCCCTAAAAGAGAACTTCACATTTGTGTTTGGCAATATATTTTTATCAGTACAATTTTATGATGCAAAATAAAAAACAAAATCCAGCATTGCCTGGCTTCTTGCCTCCAGTCCTGGCTTTCTTAAAGCTATATTTTGCTCTACTAAAAATTCAAAGCCATAATAATTTATTGAATAGCAATTATGTTCCAGATATTGAGAAATTTTGCTTATCATGACAAATCTATAGGGCAGGAATCGTGATCTGGGTTTAAGAGGTAAAGACCTGAAATAGCCCTATCCATTAATTTTCCTAGTGGGGGCTGGGAAGGTGGCTCAGGGGTAGAGTGCTTGCCTTGCATACATGAGGCCCTGGGTTCGATTCCTCAGCACCACATAAGCAAAAAGGAAAAAGCCGGAAGTGGCGCTGTGGCTCAAGTGGTAGAGCGCTAGCCTTGAGCTGAAGAGCTGAGGGACAGCACCCAGACCCAGAGTTCAGGCCCCACGACCGGACCCCAAAAAAAATTTTATGCTATTATGTTAAAGGCATTATATGGTTATTGTAATGGCCACTGGATGTCACTCCTTTGGTTGTAGGAATTAACTTCCTATATGCTGCAACTCATGAACTTGGCCATTCTTTGGGCTTGGGTCATTCCTCTGATTTTGATGCTGTGATGTACCCAACCTATAAAACGGAAGAGAAACAAGATTTCAAACTTGCACCGGATGACATCAAAGGCATTCAGAAATTATATGGTAATGTTTATGGTTTCAAATAGAAAGGATTTCTCATTTTCTTCTTAGAAAAGACTTGGGAGAATTTTGGGCACAGCTATTTAAAACCACAGTGACACTTACACCTGTCAGCCTAGCAAGGAGGAATGGAACTGCAGCCTGGGTATTAGAGCACATGTGAAACCCTGAGTCCAAACCACAGCACTCTAAGTCATAAAAGTAACACATGGTTTGTATTTTAAGCTTTTTGTCAGTCATGGGGCTTGGACTCTGGGCCTGGGCACTGTCCCTGAGCTCTTCAGCTCAAGGCAAGTGCTCTACCACTTGAACCACAGCACCACTTCCGGTTTTCTAGTGGTTAACTGGAGATAAGAGTCTCATGGACTTTCCTGCCCAGGCTGGCTTTGAACCACGGTCCTCAGATCTCAGCCTCCTAAGTAGCTAGAATTACAGGTGTGAGCCACCAGCGCCCAGCTTTAAGCTTCAGTATTTTAAAGCTTGACATGATGATATTATGCAAAAACTACCAACATTGTTCTCTGGCCGCCACACACTGCTCCTCCTTGTCCAGCTTAAATGCTGTAGGAGTGGGCTGAAGGAAGAGCACAGCATCCTCCACAGCTCCCAAGGATTTGGTCCAAGGTGATGAAAAAGTACACAATTATTTCTTGCTTCTGCATTCATGCAGGGAAAATGGTTAACTATGGACAGTAATTACTAGTAATATGGGTCATGAAGCTTATATTCAAATACCTCATCTCCCAATCTACACATTTTTGTTGTAATCAAATTCAGTTGGGTTTGAAATTTGTTGATTTGTTGATGAAATTAGTAAAGAAATGAATCAAAGGACCATAATAAAAAAAATCTATGTCTCTGGACAAAAATGAGGAAAGTTTCCTAAATTAATAGCTACTGCAATCTAACAAAATAATGCTTCAGGAAAAACTCTGAAAAATGCTCTTTTGGACCTTAGAGGTCCAACGTGAATAGTTGTTGCTGTCCAAAACACTCAACAAGATACTATTGTTAATAAGGTTATTGCCCAAAATAGAAAACATAGCCCTCTCCTATGGAAAACAGTAGAACTCACAGAATATTCCATGGTACCCTATTTTAGAGCCATACAGAAAACACAGAGAGATTAAAGAGGATCTGAGACCGATAGGTTAGACTTAACAGGAAGAAACTGATTGCTGTATTGAGTTCTTGAGCATTAGCTTCCACACCATATAGATGGAAAAATGGAACAGAAGGATGCTGAACACCTGATCCCCAGTGTCCACAGCTTTCTTCACCTTTGGAGGTTGTTGTGCAGAATCTTGGCCTAGGCAAATGAAAATGATGTACATACACTGAGATGCTTTCTAGTTATAGGATCATTTTTAATGCATTTGATATCACATCAGAATGTTTTCATTTTCTTTCTTAACAGGAAAGAGATGATTCGAGCATGTTAGACATTCCAGGGAGATTTCATCTGGTTCCATATCAGTAATCCCCAAGCAGAATGAACAGATGCTCTTCCTGTACTCCACTCTGTGAGGACTTCATTCTCACTGGCACTGTGGTTGAGTTTCACACACTTCCCACCCACCTTTGAGGATTACCTCCTTTACACAGTGACACCAGTCCTCAGACAACAAGCAGTTGGTAGATGTTAGTTATTGTTATGTTAACAAATAATTAAATTTTTATCCCAAATTACTTATACTTGGGAGAAGTTCTGTTCTATGGCAAGGGAAGATATACTATACAATGAAATTTAAAAACAAAAACAAAAACAGGCTTCTCTCTCCAGATGGCAAAAGAACATGCTGAGCTGAGACAATGGAATCTGTTATCAAGCATTGCTGAATAGCCCCTAAGGTTCTCAGCTGGGGCTAAAAAAATGAAATTATATTTATAAAGTATTTGATTTATACTTAGTGTTCCTTCCACCTCTATTCCTGTACTGTTTAGTAGGAAAGAAAAACCAGTGTGAGATTAATGTAACATTGGCTGGTTTTGACACTTGTTTGTGGAAAGGATTGTCATATTTAGTAAATAAAAACACCTGTTTGCCAAGGCCAAGATACTATGCATGTACAGAAATTCACAATATTTGTTTGCATTTTGTAGATTTGTTTTATTGGTTTTTGTAGTAACTTTAAAGTCAATAAACTGCAGCTAAAAAAAGAGATCTGACAAAAGTTACTGAAAGGGTTCCTATAGACAAGAGGAAAAAAAATGCAACTGTGAAGATGGGAGAAAATAAGTCTCCACAGATGAGCATCTAGGCAAAGGAAGAGCAGGAAAGAAGCAAACAGGGCAAGAAAACAAATGGCAGGAACACTACATACCTTTCAAAACCAGCACTGAAGGTTATGGTCTCAATTTTCCAATCAAAGGACACAGAAGGGCAAGGACTAAAAAGCAAAAGACAAGACTGGCAGCCACAAATATTGGCCTGAGGCAAAAGGTAGAAAAATATATAAATCAAGTAAATGGACCCCAAAAGCAGGAAGGAGAAGCTATATTCATGTCTGATCAAATAGTCTGTAAACCAAACTCAGAAGAGGCAAAGGTTATTTCATATTAATAAACAGAGTAGTCCTTCAAGAGGAAATAACAATTGTTAACATATATGCACCAAATGTCAGGGCACCCAACTTCATTAAACAAAAACACTGCTAGACATAAGACCACAGAGGGACCCCTAACACAATGATAGTGTGGACTTGAAGTCTCCACTCACACCAATGCTAATGTCTTCCCAATAAATTTCCTTCTGGACTAATAGGACCAAAACTAACTAGCTCATCCATGAAGTAATAAAACATTATGTTCACCTTCCTGTAGTCACTAACCTTCTTCACCATTTTGCCATAAAACCTTTCAGAAAAAGAGCCCAACATAGAACATGGACAGGTGAAAAATGACAGAGAGGATATAGACCCAGAATAAAGCTAACCAGGGCTGCCTTTATAGCATTGTTGTTAGCGTACAAGTAATGCTAGGTAGCAACAAGAACACTGAGCTGTACCAGAAGTTATGCTTGAATCCTGGTTATACTTGACCCTCTAAGGAGAATTTGGGTTTTCCTAATGATCATGTCATTATTGTTTTGTTTTGTTGAGAAGGGTCTTCCTATGTATCCCAAGTTGGCCCCAAACCTGCTATTTTAAGCCAGGCTGGCCTTGAACTTGCAAACCTCCTTCTCAGTGCCAAGTTTATAGGTATACAATACTATGCCTGGCTTGCTTCTTTTCCTTCCTCTTTTCCTTTCTTTCTTCCTTCCTTCCTTCCTTCCTTCCTTCCTTCCATCTCTTTCCTTGGGATTGAGTCCAGTGCCTTAAGTCTGCTAGGGAAATGCTCTATCACTGAGCTACATCCTCATTCCCAATCCTTTGTTTTAATTCTCTTATTTTATAAAGCAGGATTTGTGACCCTGTTCCAGTCCTAAAATTCAATGCCCAGCTGGTCATAAAATATTAGTTGATAATATTATATGATTCTGAAGTCCTATAAATGTTAAAACATTTGGGTTTTGCCCTTGATTAGACTTACCAACTCTCTAAAATTGATCAAAAAGGATATGAACGCACAGAGTTATTGTGTTCTACCAGGAAAACAACCACAGGTTATAGAGCTCAAAGAGGATATAAAACATTAAAATAGTGGGGCTGGAGTATAGCCTAATGATAGAGCATATGGCCATGGTTTGATCCTGGCACCAAAAGAAAAAAAATCTTCTCTTCACCTAGCTACAGATAATAAGCAAGTCTAAACTCCACTTGACCATAAAGTAGTCTGGATAAGCTGGATATTCCTGACATTCTTAAAGATTCTCTACCAGGCTGGCCAAACCTTCTTAGAACTGTGATGTAGTCTATGGCCTGGCCCAAGCCCCACATCCTGGTGTGAGCCCATCTCTCCCCACCCCACTCCTCCTTCCCCTGTATCCTTCCTACATAGCTCCCCAATTCTCTTCCAAGCCTAATCCCATCTTGGAATCTGCCTTTAGGGGACCTGATCTAACCCCAAGAGTGTCTAATTATCTATCACTGCATAAAAATTTCCCCCCTATATTAGTTCATTTCATTCTAGCATGAATTCTGTGAGTTAGGAGTTCAAGCGAGGACTTGCATGTTTGTTCACTACCTTTAGTTTGAATGACTACAAATCTGGGCTTGGTTGGGACAGTCAACCACATCGCCAACATGTAGCACCTACAGCATGCGGATCCTAGTTGGTGTGCCTTTATGGTCATAGCCTTAGATGTCATATAGCATCACTTCTGCCATATGCTACCAGTAATTTTTTTAAAAGTAATCTCAGCCATTTTCAGAGTTAAAATGAAGTAATTTGCATCCCTACTTTAATTTGCAGTTATGTTTCTAAGTGGCCACATGGGGTCACCCTTCCTCTTTGTGAAAATGTCTATCATTAAACCACAAGGCATTTATTAATTCTATATATTTTTTAATTTTTTTTTTTTGTTGGTTGTGGGGCTTGAACTCTGGGCCTAGGCACTGTCCCTCAGCTCTTCAGCTCAAGGCTGAAAATGCCCAGCCCTGGCATTTTTTAATTCTAACCAAAAGTATACTTGCTACTATAAAGATGCTGAAGATGAGCAAGGGTAAATTTTGCTTTGTACTCTCCTTTATCAATAGCATCCAGTTATCAATGCCCCAGCAGTCAGAAAGGAAACTCAGGTTACATGAATCCATAGGCCATACCCTAGTGAACAACAATTTTGGGAGGGTAAATTTTACATTTAAAATATTTGTATGTATTTTCCCAGTATTCAAAATTGCATTCATATTTTTCTAATATAGAACTATGTCCATGCATTCTAAAGAATTATGGGGGACAGGGCCGGGAAGGTGGATCAGTGGTAGAGCGCTTGCCTTGCATGCCTGAGGCCCTGGGTTTGATTCCTCAGCACCACATAAGAAAAAAGAAAAAAGCCGGAAGTGGTGCTGTGACTCAAGTGGTAGAGCGCTAGCCTTGAGCTGAAGAGCTGAGGGACAGCGCCCAGGCCCAGAGTTCAAGCCCCACGACCGACAAAAAAAAAAAAAGAATTATGGGGGACAATTGGTTTCCAGGTTCCTCTGTTCATTCTCAAGTGGCCTTTATTTTCTCGTTAGCAAATAAACTCTTAAAACTGTAAAAGAAAAAAAATGGGGGAGGGAAAGGGAAATAACAGAACACTGAACCAAGGACACAGACATCCATTGCAACAATGATGCCCACAAGACAGTATATTGGAAATGAATTTTACAACTTTGGGCAGGGAGTGAGGGAAAATGGAGGGAGGCGGAGGAGGGAAAGGATAGTAGGAGAACAAGGGAAGGGGTGACAATGCTGGACAAGAAATGTACTTATTGCCTTACTCATGTAACTGTAACCCCTCTGAACAGCATCTTTACAATAAAAAGGAAGGAAGGAAGGGAAACTAATTAAGTAATGATATACTCTTTTGATTGTTATATAACATTGCATTACTAAAACCTAATGCTTATTAGAATCTGTGCATCTATGTTTACACTGAGACAAGACTAAAATCTACTGTCATTATACTAATCTTACCAGGTTTAGTACTAGGGTTATTATATTGGCTTCATCAAAGGAGATGACCATCTAGCTTATCTTCCTGTAAGGAAGTAAATAGTATAACTAAGTTCACAAATCAGAAAAATAAAGACTTTTCTAAAAAAGGAAATGATTCCCAAAATTATTTTTTATTCTCTTAAAAGTTAATTTAAAAATAAAGGAACTAGGAGCTTGGCACTGGTGGTCACCCTGTAATCCTAACTACTCAGAAGGCTGAGATCTGAGGATCACAGTTCGAAGCCAACCCATGCAGAAAAGTCTCCCATTTAACCACTCAAAAACTACAAGTGGCACTGTGGCTCAAAGTGGTAGAGTGCTAGCCTTGAGCAAAAGAGCTCAGGGACAGCACCCAGGCCCTGAGTTCAAGCCCCATGTCTGACCAAACAAAACAAAAAAAACAACTAGCAATATGGCTCAGATATAAAACACTTGACTGGCCTTTGTGATTGGATTCCATTCCCAGGACCAAATATAAATAAATAAAACTGTAAATTAGCATTGTTGCCCAATCTAAGGCATAAAAACAAATTGAAATCAAAATTCAAAAATTAGATCAATAGAATAGAGAAACAACAGACTGACCACACTAGAGAACTCCAATTTACACTTGTGTTGCAGTCCCTTTCACTCCTAAACTGTCAATGTTTCACAATAAATGATCTACTCAAGTGAACCTAGCATGGGTCTGATGCCACATGTTAGCTGTACTACTGTGACAAATTCACCTGTCTCTTTCCATCAGCAAAACAAAAACTATTATTTACCTCTTTAGGCAGTCTAAAAAACAACTGGAATCTGTTTCATGCTCTTAAAAACTAAATCCCATAATCGTTAAGCCTGGCATGATGGCTCCCACCTGTCATCCTTAGAACTCAGAAAGCTGACGTAGGAGTATTACAAATTTGAGGCTACTATGGATGATATAGCAAGATTCCATCTTGAGTATCAATCAATAAAATTAGTTGATGTGGCTATCCCCCACCAATCCACAAATTAGAGCAAAAATCCTGGCACCTATATTCACCTTCAACAGAATTCCAAAACCATCTTCTCAGAGTTGAGGATGTACGTACAAAGCCGAGCCACCTGTGCCCAGCCCCTCCCTCTTTAACACCCCACCCCGCCAGCCCTATCTATCTACTGGGTAACCGGATGTCCCAAGTTTGATTCATGGACATTGACCAGAGGCTCCTTACAATGCTCAGTCATGAAAATCAGGAACACCCATGTCCAGAGAAGTCACTGTTAGTTACTTCCCAGCCCACTGCCCATCCCATAAATTCCCCTCATCCAGCCCTGCAGAGGCTTAGGTTCTTCCTTGTACTTGCCTTTCCATGAAATACTGACATTCTTAACGGGTTATCTCTCCCTTTTTTTGATGCACTAGAAAAAGGAAATGCAAAAGCATCTTCCCCCTTTGAAGACGAAAACCCACTCTTCCCCAGAGCAAAGAGAAATTTATTTATTTTTCTTGGTCGGCCATGGGGC